GGGGGGGGGGAAGGTGTTGGTAGAGAGCGCGCGCGCGTCTCTGAGAGTGGGCGGAGGTGTGCATTTTTGGCGCTGCTGCTGGCTAGTCCCAGCAGGGGATAGGATGGACTCAAATGGCAATTGCAAAATGCACGGCCAAAATGGCCAACGACTGGGGACCGACTGGCCCGGCTCGGTCGGTGGGCGTGGAAGCAGCGCGCGTTGGCAAGCGGAGGTGGCTCGGCCGCCTCGCTCACTCGACGCTCACTCCCAAGCATCACCCACTCGACTCCTTCGACCGCCGGACCCTTCCCTCTCCACCCCGTCTTCAAGCCCGCGTCGACGCGCCGACTCTCACAATCGCCATCGTCACCACTCGGCAACGCATCAGATCGAGCCTCCGTCTCGGACCTCCAAAGTCACCATTACGAACCGACTTTTATTGCTCTGACCAGGTGCACCAAAGCAACGGACGGACCCCTCTTGCCATCGATCGTCGGCAAGCTCTCCCGTCTCGGGTCCCTGCAATAGACACCTCTCGCTGCTCCGTCCTCATCGCAACGTCGCTTCCATCTCCAGGATCCCGCTACTTGCTCCCGTCGGCCCGAATCGTCAGCCAATGATCCTAGCAGATCGCCCAACCAGGCAGCTCTGATCGGTGCCGATCCTGCGCAACCAAGCTCGAGCGTGCATGCAGTCCTAGCCAAAGCAAGCAGCATAGCCCGCCCGACCGCCTCTCCATCATGGTCTCCGATCAGGCGTCTCGGGTCTCCTCGTCCCAGCGCGAGCCACAGCGAGGGCCCGAGGCAATCGCCAACTTCTTCGGCGGACGCTATTCCACCGATCAGGGATCCGTGCGCGCCAAGAACACAGAGTCGTCGCTCTCCAGCTACGCCGGGAGCATGCGCAGGTCCTCCTCTGGCACCGAGTTCTACTCTCAGGCTCACAGCGCCAATGGCGCCGACGGCGCCGACGAGTCATCTGCCGCCAGCGCCAGCAACGCTCCAGCTTCACCCAAACCGCCCCGAGTCTACTCATCGTTTTCAGCCGCCGCTGCCGCTGCTTCTCGCTCCTCAGTCAACAAGAAGAGCTCGCAGTCCAGCATACCAAGCAATTCCGCTGCATCACCTTCCATCCGTCAATCTCCCGCCATGGCCTCACCGCGCATATCCACATCCGCTTTCGGCGGCGACGTCACCTCATCCTCGGGCGTAAATGCCGACTCCGAGTATGCCTCGCCGTCAAAGGCTGCCAAGCCTTCCGGTTTCGATGTCGCCTCGGTCAATCAGTACACCCCCGGCTCGCTCGCCAGCACCTTCCCCTGGCTCTCCAGCAACCCGCAATCCTCGTCCACTCACCTCGTCAGCCGAGATCGCGTATTGGCCCCCGCACAGAGCAGCGCGCAGCTCCAATCTCACATGGACTCCCCTCCCAACGTCTCTCAGTACAGCAAAGGCAAAGGCTTCGGCTGGAATCCCAACGATCAACACAGAGCGCCGCCCAAATCCGCCTCCAGGCTGCGCACTACCACCAATACACCCAGGTCCGAGATGCGAGATACCAAGGACTCCATCGGTCGGGGCCTCGGCTTCAAGTCGACCTCCGAGCTCGATCTGCCAGAGCGCATGCGCAGTCAACGCAAAGCCGCTCTGGCGCCTCCGCGACTCTCGCAGGATCCCATCGCTATCAGCATAGAGGACGAGCTGCGACCCCAGCCTGGCGTTGCCAAGACCGACTCGGCCTTTTCCCGTCTCGGTCGTGCTTTCCGACGCAAGAGCAAAACCGGCAGCGACCTCAGGGTCGACCTCGGCTCCGATGCCCCGCCCCTCCCAAAGACTCCCAGGCGCATGCCCAGCCAGATGCTCGCCACGAGCCAATTGGATCGCCTCGCCCCAAACGCCTCCTCCACTACAAGCAGTCTCACCGCGGACGCCGTCATGCAGAGGCACAAGCGCAGCGTCGACATCAACGGCGCCCGTGCAGAGCTCCAGGCTCCGCCCAAGGATGCGCCGCAAGACAGTCAAAGCGCTTCGAAAGGATCCGATCACCCGTCGCCCTCTTCTCAGACCAAATCACGCGGTGCCACCCGCAACTCGGCGGATCTGCTTTCCAGCCAGGTAGATGGGAACCGCCGCAACGCTTCCTTTGATTCTCGACCAGTGGAAGGCGCAACTTCTCGAGTGGGCGTGCAGGAAGATCGGGCAGAGGAAGGTCCCCGGACGGATCAGCCGCGGTCGCTCGCCGACGCAAGTGCCGCTCCAGCCGACAGCCGATCGAATGAAGCAGAGGCGAGGCTCACCCGCACAAACCATCGCACGCATCCGGACATCGCAGCGGAGGGGTCAAAGTCGCCCGAGGATCGGCAACAGAACCGCCCGGCAGTCGACGGGTCGAACAGAGCCGAGGATCCGCAAGCCCTTGACCGCTCCGATGACGCCCAGCCTGGCGACCGAGCCGCGTCCGCAGCCGATGCACGACCTCTCTCGATGGAATCCACAAGTTCGAGCGCGCGCCGAAATTCTCTCGTCTTTCTCGCATCCGCAATCTCCATGGGCGCCATCGCCGCCGAGCCGCAAGAGGCTGCCAGCGCGGCCGACGCAAAGACTAGCAACATCGAGACCGACAAGTCTGAAAAAGCATCTGATCGCGGCCCCTTGACAGACACTGCTGCGTCAAGCGTGCCAGCGCAAACGGACACCTTCGTGCGCAGCGACAACAATGCGTCCGTCCCCACCTCGTCCGAGCATCACACGAGCGCCTCTATGACGAGGGTGCAAAGCGGAAGCTCCGACCGTCGGCGTCTCGAGCCCAAGTCAGCCGTCCGCAGTGACGCGGTTCCCAGCATCTTGTCCGACTTTTTGAGCATGGACGCTGCCCTGTCGGCCAAGGACGGCAACAAGCGAAAGGCCAAAGAGCCCACTGGCTCATCTCGCAAAGCAAAGTCGACCACGGAGTCGAGTTCGGCCTTGGAGCGCACTGCCAGCGCCAACTCGGACGGCAAGAAGTCGTCGTACAGCACGTCGCCCAAGTCTTCGCGCGCCACCAAGGGCGTCTTCATGTCGCCACCTGCCGGGCCCAGCATGGGTGGCTTCGTCTCGCCTTTCTATGTCGCGCCGCTCACTTCGGTCGACGCCGGTCTCGCTAACCGCGCAACGCGTCCGACAGGTCGTCGCGCAAGCGCGAGCTCGCGTTCAACCCATAGCGATGACTCCAAGAGTGTCCACAGCACGACGCGCCGCGGCTCGGCTTCCCAGGCCCCTCCCGCAGCGTCGCAGCGAGAGGCTCAGGAAGCACCTCAGTCCAGCCGCGCCACCGAAGAGACCGTGATCAAGTCTCAGGAGCTTGCTTCGGCAGAAAAGGCCAGAAAGGTCAAATCAGTCGGCAATTTGAAAGCTTCGGCCCCCGAACAGAGCCAGGAGGCAATGCCGCGCTCCAGCACTTCAAAGATCCCATCGGCCTCCGCAGTGTCCGACGCTCCCGCAAGCCGATCGCATGGTGTCTCGGCCGAGGGAGCCAATGCCGCTACGCAGGCCGCCGAGGAAAACTCGAACGACAGCAGCCTGTCTCGTTCGCAAAGCATTTCGCAGCGCTTGCTACGCCGTCCGAAGACGAGCGGGGCAGAGGCTGGTCTCGGAAGCGGGCGCACAACCTTGGCAGATGCCGGGCTTCAGTCCAGTTCGCGAAGAGGCTCGGGTCCAGGTCGCGCATCTCTGGACGAGTCTGGTCGGTCAGGCAAGCCGTTGTCCTCATCGCCTACCGAGACCGACTTTGAGATGCTTGCATCTTCAGACCTTTCGGCTACGGCGAGCAAAGACACATCGGCGTCGAGGACCTCGCGCGAAAATGGACTGGCACCTCGCGCTTCGAACGCCTGGCTCAAAGAGAGCCCCGCATCGGGGCGCAGACCGAGCGAAAGCAGCAGCGGCGCCATCACGCCTTCCTCCTCCCGGATCGAGTCGAGCGGCGGGGCCGCTGCGCTCTTCGGAAACCCAACGACGAGGCCGCGGACATCGTCTCTGCTTCCGTCCTTCGGCTTCAGCAGAAGCCGCACAGGGTCTTCTGCTGGCCTTGAGGGCACAGGCAAGAGTGCAGGCACCTTTGGCGGTTCGAGTCGTTCCGCTTCTGGTGGCCTGTGGCGGGACCAGGCCGATGCCGGAACACGGGGTGGCGCTGCCGATAGCAGCTCGCAACTGCAGGACGTTAACGGGACAACGCGATCGCCACGGGCGTCGAGCAGCTCGCGGCCTTCGTTCAGCAGGCAGCTGTCGTCCACGACAGCCGGCCTTGCAGAGACCGAGTCGGCACAGTCGTCCGTCAAAACGGAGAAGAAGTTCTCGCTCTCCGCCTACTTGCCCTACGACGACGAAGATGCTCCCGAATACGCCGATCGAATCGCATCGACGGCGCCCAAGACTCAGCTGGCCGCCATCTTAGCCTCCAGCCCCGACGCCTTCTACATCGATGCGCTCCACCACTTCATGACGCGCTTCTGGTTCAACGGCCTTCCGCTCGACATTGCGTTGCGAAAGCTGCTCATGGATCTGCATCTACCCAAGGAGACTCAACAGATCGACCGCGTGATGGAGGCGTTTGCGAAGCGCTACAACGAGTGCAACTCGGGCCTCTTTGCTTCCGACGACCAGCCCTACATCCTGTCCTTCTCGCTCATGATGCTTCATACCGACGCCTTCAACAAGAACGCCAAGAACAAGATGACCAAGGTCGACTATCTCAGAAACACGGGGTCCAGCGGAGTGCCCACGGAGATCCTCGAGTACCTCTACGACAATCTCACCTTCACCCAATTCATCTACGTCGAGGACGAAGAGGGAGCGCGTCGTCGCCCCTCAGAGGCCTCGGGCATCTCGACGGTTGGACCTGCCTTGTCGTCCTCGCTTGCGGCACAAGGAGCAGCAGCCAACGCGCGTACCAAGATCGACCCATACTTTCTGATTACGCAGGGTCGGCTGGGCGAGCTGCGTCCGGATTTGGAGCACCTCATCCCCGAGGATACGCCCTTCTCGTACACGGGCACGTTGCCTGCCTTTGACGTCGACCGTCTCAACTCGGCCTTCCTGCACGCCCCCAGCATCGAGATTGTCACGACGAAACCGCCGTCGGATCTAGCGGCGGCCGCGAACGCCAGCGCAGCAGCAGGCGAGGAGGAGGTGGTGTCGCTAAAAGTGACCAAAGTGGGCATCGTCAACCGCAAAGACGACGTCTCGGACGGCGGCAAGAAGGCAGCGTCGCGCAAGTGGAAGACGAGTGGTCTGCTGTTGACGGGCTCGCAGCTGCTGCTCTTCAAGGACGTGGTGTGGATCAACGCTTTGCAGTCGCAGATTCTCGATCAGGTCGGTCACACGCTGCTGTGCAACGGCATCCCTACCGACGACCCCACGGCTGTGGACGAGGTTGAGGGCGGTGTGGTGATCTCGCCGAGGATCACCTACTTCCGGCCGGACGGAGTGATCTCGCTGGCGGATGCGGTTGCGGTCAAAGACCACTCGTACGGAAAGTACGACTTTGTCTTCCGACTCTTGGCCGCCAAGGGCCGGCAGTACCTGGTGCAGGCGCAGAGCGAGGACGACATGAATGATTGGATCCACAAGATCAACTTTTGTGCCAGCTTCCGCACGTGCAACATCAAGATCCGTGGGCTCGACCTGGCCCCGCGCGCCGGATCTGGCACGGGGCTGGCCGATCCAGATTCGTTGGATGTTGGCGACCCGTCGAACGGCCGCTCGGGTCGTGGCGCTGTCTCGAGATTGTCTTTGTCGGACTCGGACCGGGCATCGAGAGGCATTGAACGGGATGGCAGCGGAAGATCGACGCCTGTTCCAGACGAGGCTGGAGATACTTCGAGAGAGGCGTCGTTCCGGCTGAGTGTGGACCCGATGTCTCGCACGAGCGAATCGGACGGGCCACCCCGTCCTGCCTCGTCGGCGTCCCAGCGAATGAGTCCGGCGTCGAGCGCGCTGCAAAAGCGTGCCAAGGCCCGGCGTGAACTCATGCTGACCAAGATCGCCGAGACGGAGGTGCAGCTGGAGCGGGCGTCGACGCGGCTGGCGGACGAGATCCGTCTGGCACGCCACTTTGCCATCCTGACGCCGTTCCTCAAGTCGACGCGCGAGCGCATCGAGATGTCGGCGCAGCCGCTGGCGCATCGCATCCGAAGCCTGCGATTGGAAGTGTCGAAGGCTGAGTCGCGATGCAAGATGCTTCGTCTCGACCTGGCGGCGGGCGAGCGGGTGGCCAGAGCGCTGCTACCGGCCGTGTACCTGTCGGCGTCGGCGATGCGCTCAGCGAACCGACTGCCGTCGTCGCAGGTTCGCACGCCGCAGCTGCTTGAGCTGGGCCGCCTCTCGGAGTCTCAGGCGCAGTTTGAAGACCTGTTTGCGCCGGCCGCCTCGAACGGCAGTGCGGCGGGCAGCTCGGACGCTGCAGCTGCGCTTGCGGTGGCCAACAAGGTGACCAAGCCGGCGTCGCATCAGAGGAACCAGATGAACCTCAACGCGGTGACGGAACAGCCAGCCGACGAGTCGCCGGTGATCGCGACGCGACGCGAGCTGCCAGCCGAGGATGCCGCGGACGAGCGCGGCGCGGATGTGGCGGCGTCTGGCGGGCGGAAGCAACGGCCACCTTCGCCCGCGCAGTCGGTGGCGTCGCAATCGTCGGCCGAGAACCAGCAGGGCCGAGAGCGAGACCGATCGAGAAGGCGCACTCACGGTGCGGACGTGCCGACGACGGATGAGGTCCCAGAAGATTGGGACCTGAGCCAGGTGGCGCGACCGGGCACCAACCGCATCAGCCTCGTCGACCTGCCTTCGCCTGACGAGCTGCAGGAAGCCACGGGCGGACGCTTCCGATTCGGCGTGCGCGCGGCCGAGTGAGCGTGCAGGAGCACCTCCCGGCCGGACTACGTTAATGTCATTGTATACTTCGTTTCTGTCTCCGCGGGATGCTGATGTCAAACGGCGTGGTGCGGGGTAAGAACGGGAGCGTATGGGTGTGTTGGCCGAGGATGGCGCGGGGTGACACGGCCACGTGGGTGAGAGGGACGCTATCTCTCTCGGGCGAGTCAAAAGCAGATGTAGCAGAGACCCGCACGGAAATCGTGTTTTTCGGAGCGCCGATCCGCGCGAGTCGGAAGTCGGCGGCGCCGGGCACGAGCCGGCAAAGACGGGGGAATGCTTCGCCGCCTGAACCTGGTTCTAGCATGCTTTTGCGTCAACCTGCTGCTCATCGTATGGAGCAGAAGTCTGTCATACATGCTTGCGATGTTTAGGCATTGCGAAGAGAGAAATGCCCGATGGAGTGGATCGATGGCTTTGGCCCTACTGACAGAGATGCAGTTGCTCGAGCCTGGTCGAAAGCAGCAGTCGAGTTGGACGGGGGATTTGAATGTGAAAGCGCGCCTTCGAAGAAGGGCGACGCACATTGGATTTGTGGAGAAAAGCACGAGCCAGCCGGAAAATGGGCGGTTGCAAGGCGGGGGAGGCACGCTTCCGGGTAGCAACGCGGCCTGGTTAGCCGGAGAGAGGGTGGATGCGGATGGTGGATACGTTTTCGTCAGGCTAAGCAGATGGTCGTCGCTGCACTTTTCACGCCGGGGCCCGTCGGCCAGATCTGGGCTTTCAAACTGCGCGCCCGAAGCCCAAGTGCGGGGCCCAACACCGCTTAGCGACGACTAGAAGTGTCGACCTCCATTGCCCGCTCTCGCAGGTGCTTGGCCTTGTGGGGTTCGGCTGCCGTTGCTCGCCTGCGATGTCGACCCCCAACTGCCGCGTGGAATGCTCGCTGGCTTTGCTTCGGATCGTCGCCAAAGGTGCCAGCTATGACCAGAGGTCTTCCCATTGTGATGGCGATGCCACCAAGATCCAAAACGCTCATTGTGCAGAGTTGTAACAGGAGTGTCTGAAAGCTCGAGCTGCCGAGAGGAGAAGCACTGCGAAGGGCAGTCATGGAGCGACAAAGCATGCTTTTGCGTCAGGACAAGCGGAGCTAGCGTGGATTTTTTGCAAGGATAAATGGCTCTGGCGCCGGTAGTGGTCGACTGGAGGCCGGATTGCAAAGCGTCCATCCAACTCCACTTGGCCAGAGCGCCTCTGCAGCAGCGCCCGCGCGTGCTCCGTGATCCAACTCCGGACGCACCGGCCGTACGCATGCATCGCTGCGCCTCTGCTGCGTCCGGCTAACCGGAAGCTCAGCCTCGCTCGCTGCTTGCCGTCGTCCGTTGGGTCCGTACGCAGGACTCGCGAGGATCGAGCCAGCCGCATCCCCGCCGTCGAGTGCCATTCCATTCAAATACCTCCTACTCGCCCCGCATCCATCCTGACCACAGCTCCTTCTCACCTCCGCTGTCCCCCCGATCCGCAGCACCCTTCCTCTCCTTCGTACCATACCCGCTCTCCTCCTCTTCATCAAGCCCCGTCATACGCACCGTCTGCACGCTGCCTCCTGATCGTGCATTACGGACTCGCGCTGTTTCCTCGTCAATTCAACACATCCAGTTTCGTTACCCGTGCAGCAAAGCACAGCAAATAGCTCCAAAATGTCAGACTTCCCCTCCACCGAGAACGGGAAGATCTCGTTCAAGAACCGCGTCGTCGTCGTCACCGGTGCCGGCAACGGTCTTGGTCGAGCGTAAGTAAATGCGCGGCAGGCGCCAGAAGAGAAGACTGTGTATTGACCCTCGTTCATGCTGCTTCCCAACAGATACGCGCTCTTCTTCGCTTCGCGCGGCGCCAAGGTCCTCATCAACGATCTTGGCCCTTCTGCCAAGGACAAGAACAAGAAGGCTGCCGATGTCGTCGTCGAGGAGATCCAACAGGCCGGCGGCGAGGCCATCGCCAACTACGACTCGAACACCGATGGCGAGAAGGTCATCCAGCAGGCCATCGACAAGTGGGGCCGCATCGACATCCTCATCAACAACGCCGGTATCCTGCGTGACAAGTCGTACGTATTGGGTTTCCCTGCCCTTTGTTGGCCGTGAGCCAGCTCACAAATCTAGGAACAGTTCACTGACGACCGTTTTTTTGCATTCCGCACCAACAGCTTCAAGGCGATGAGCGACAAGGAGTGGGACCAGATCACGGCCGTCCACATCACCGGCTCGTACGCCTGTGCCAAGGCCGCATGGCCCCACATGCGCAAGCAGAAGTTCGGCCGCATCATCAACACCTCGTCGGCTGCCGGTATCTACGGCAACTTCGGCCAGGCCAACTACGCCGCCGCCAAGCACGCCATGATCGGTTTCGGCAAGACGCTCGCCATCGAGGGTGCCAAGTACAACATCCTCTCCAACGTCCTCGCCCCCGTCGCCGCCAGTCAGCTCACCGCCACCGTCATGCCCCCCGAGATGCTCGAGAACCTCACGCCCGACTACGTCGTCCCCATTGTCGCCTACCTCGTCTCTGCCGAGAACAAGGAGGTTTCGGGCCACGTCTTCGAGTGCGGTGCCGGCTTCTTCGCCCAGGTCCGCCGTGAGCGCAGCCGCGGCGTCGTCTTCAAGACCGACGACTCGTTCACCCCCGCCGCCGTGCGTGCCAAGATTGACGAGATCCTCGACTTTGACGAGAAGCCCGAGTACCCCTTCCGCATCACCGACGCCAACCACATGGAGTTCCTCGAGCGTGCCAAGGAGGCCAAGTCCAACGACCAGGGCGAAGGCCCCGTCCGTTTCGACGGCAAGACCGTGCTCGTCACCGGTGCCGGTGCCGGTCTCGGCCGTGCCTACGCCCACATGTTCGGCAAGCTCGGCGCCAACGTGGTGGTCAACGACTTCCTCGAGAAGAACGCCGCCGCTGTCGTCGACGAGATCAAGAAGGCGGGCGGCAAGGCCGCTCCCGCCGTCGGCTCGGTCGAGGACGGCGAGAAGATCGTCAAGGCGGCCGTCGACGCCTTTGGCTCGATCCACGTCATCATCAACAATGCCGGTATCCTGCGCGACAAGTCGTTCGCCGCCATGTCGGACCAGGAGTGGCACGCCGTGCTCAACACGCACCTCCGCGGCACCTACAGCGTCTGCCACGCCGCCTGGCCCATCTTCCAGCAGCAGAAGTACGGCCGTATCGTCAACACCACCTCGGCCGTCGGCATCTACGGCAACTTTGGCCAGGCCAACTACTCGACTGCCAAGGCCGGCATCATCGGCTTCACCAACACGCTCGGCATCGAGGGCAAGAAGTACAACATTCTCGCCAACACGATCGCCCCCAACGCCGGCACCGCCATGACTGCCACCATCTGGCCCCAGGAGATGGTCGACGCCTTCAAGCCCGACTACGTTGCTCCCATGGTCGGCTACCTCGCCAGCGAGGCCAACGAGGACCTCACCTCGAGCCTCTTTGAGGTCTCGGGTGGCTGGGTTGCTGCCGTCCGCTGGCAGCGCGCCGGCGGCCACTCGTTCAGCCACGGCAAGCCGCCTTCGCCCGAAAAGATTGTCAAGAAGTGGTCCAAGATCACCGACTACGAGACCAACCCCTCGTGGCCCACGAGCCCGAGCGACTCGCTCGGCGACATTGTCTCGAACTTCGGCCAGGAGGAGGAGGACGAGGATGACGACGACGAGGGCGGAGCTGGCGGCGACTACAGCGACCCCGAGGACCCCGAGATTGTGCAGAAGGCCAAGAAGGAGCCCATCGAGGACTCGGAGTTCTCGTACGGCGAGCGCGACGTGATTCTGTACAACCTCGGCGTTGGTGCCACGGAGAAGGACCTCGACCTTGTGTTTGAGCAGGACGACGACTTCCGAGCGGTGCCCACGTTTGGTGTGATCCCGCAGTTCATGGCGAGCGGCGGCATCCCTCTGGACTGGTTGCCCAACTTCAGCCCCATGATGCTGCTGCACGGCGAGCAGTACCTGGCGATCAAGAAGCCCATCCCCACGAGCGCGACGCTGGTGAACAAGCCCAAGCTGATGGAGGTGCTGGACAAGGGCAAGGCTGCGGCGGTAACGTCGGTGGTGCACACCTTCGACAAGGGCAGCGGCGACCTCGTCTTTGAGAGCCAGAGCACCGTCTTCATCCGAGGCTCGGGCGGCTTTGGCGGCAAGAAGTCGGGCAAGGACCGCGGTGCAGCCTCGGCGGCGAACAAGCCTCCGTCGCGCAAGGCGGACAAGGTGGTGACGGAGAAGACGACGGATGCGCAGGCTGCGCTGTACCGTCTGTCGGGCGACTACAACCCGCTGCACATTGACCCCAGCTTTGCGCAGGTGGGTGGCTTTGACAAGCCCATCCTGCACGGCCTCTGCTCGTTTGGTATCTCGGGCAAGCACATCTTCCGCGAGTACGGCGCGTACAAGGACATCAAGGTGCGCTTCACCGGCCACGTCTTCCCCGGCGAGACGCTCGAGACGAGCATGTGGAAGGAGGGCAACAAGGTCATCTTCACCACGCGCGTCGTTGAGCGCGACACCCAGGCTCTCGGTGCTGCCGCCGTCACGCTGGCCGACGAGTAAGCTCGCCAGCACCTCGGCTTGACCCGTCCGATGTCTTTCCTCTTTCTCTGATCTGGAATTCTATAGTGTATGATCGATTCATGGCGGTCGCTGTCTGACTGAGCGTGGTGGGGCTCAAAGCTCGACGGTAGGCATTGTAGCTTGAGGACCCTTGCGGGCATTGCTCAGCGTGCTGGGTATGCGCACGGATCTACACGAATTCGAAGGCAATCGGTGATGGCACTAAGCCCAGTTGGTTGCTCCTCTGAGGCGTTGGCAGCACGCGGTGGGTGGGTGTCGAGTTGCAGGAGGTCGGAGCGTCGGGTGCATGGCGTATTTCCTGGCGCAGCGTGGAAGCGCCATCGGGCGCGCGTCTCTCTCTGCCCAATTCCAACACCGCCCGGGCCCACTGTGTGTGTGACTCTTTCGCACAAAAGCACCGACCAGCACGGGAACGCGTCTGCGCTGGCATCACTCTTCCACCCATCTCGAAGCTCTCTTTCGCTCTTGGACATGCGCATCTGACGCTCCTCCTAGACATCACACCTCCGTTACAAAGGGTCCGAGCCAAGACGTGGCACACGGCCCCACCGCCCACCGCCCACCCTTAGCCTTCATCAGCTCGCGTCCCGCCCCCCAGCCGGTGTCGCTCCCCACCACCAATCGGGCTGCTGCTGCTTCTCCCCATGCGCCTTTCGTCTCGCTCACGTTCGTTCCTCACCACCACCACTGCTGGCAAGCCCCTTCGTTCCACTCCCTTGGCATTGGCATTCATCGAAACGCGTGCGAGCACAACTAGGCAACCTCGCAAAGTCGTCGCTTCATCCACCGCGCGTCCGCAGCCGCCTGTCGTCTACGCGCGCTTCAAGAGCACCCATCATCCAGCGCATCCGACCGCGGTCCCCACATCTCCTGTGCTTCCCAAGCCGTCTCATATCGCCTCGACCCTTGCTACCGAAGAAGCGCGGCCTCCGACAGCTCACCCGCAACCTCCTCCGCACCAGGGCCCACCCCGACTCGTGCGCTACGAGGCAGACAGCCACGCGCATCCCCAGCACCCGCTCGCGCTCTACCCGTCGTCGTACTCGCACGCTTCGTATCCAGACCCCGCGTCGTACCGTGCCCACCTCTCCAACCGACGCGCACCCGCCAGCCTCTTTGGCCTCTTCCCCAGCACCAGCATCACGGCAGCCAGCGTCAAAGCAAGCTCCGATCCGCACGCTTATCCAGGTGCAGGCCCCACGATCCAGACCAGCATCACTACACCCACGCAAGCCACTTCGAAGCCAGTAGCCATCGACTCCACCGCTCCATCTGACGCCATGACCGCCTCCGCCTCCTCCATCGTCGACGCAACCAAGTCGGGCCAGGCCGAGCTGCACCAGCGCAAAAAGGGCGCCGCTGCACCCGCCTCCGCCACTGCCGCCGCCGTGGCAACCTCGAAGCATTCGCACAGCCACGGCCACCACGGCCACCATCACGGCCACGACCACGGCTCGCCAGAAGAGGCCGACAAGCTGCTCGCCGCGCTCAAGGGCAAGGGAGACCGCGGCTCCAACATCACACTCGCGGGTCTGGTGTCCAACGTGGGGCTGTGCGGCGCCAAGGGCGTGGCGGGCGTGTATCTCAACTCGGCCGCGCTGCTGGCGGATGCGGCGCACTCGCTGTCCGACATGTTTGCCGACCTGGTCACGCTCTTCTGCTGGAAGATGTCTCAGAAGCCGCCGTCGGCGTCGCATCCGCTCGGCTACGGCAAGTACGAGACCATGGGGTCGCTCGGCGTGAGTCTGGTGCTCGTTGCCGGTGCGGTGGGGATCGGATTCCACTCGTACGGGCTGCTGCTCGAAGCGATTCAGCCTACGCTGCAGCATGCGCCCGCGGCGATTCAGGCGCTCAGCCACTTCACGGGCAGCATCGCGTCGGCGGGTGGGCTGCTGCACGACCACCACGACCACGGTGCGGTGGCGCACGGCGAGGGCGGGGTGCTCGATCCGAACGCCATGTGGTTTGCGCTGCTCTCCATCGCCGTCAAGGAGTGGCTCTACCACGCCACGCTCAAGATCGCGCGCGAGGAGAACTCGTCGGTGCTGGAAGCGAATGCGCTGCACCACCGTTCCGACTCGCTCTCGTCCGCTGTGACATTCCTCGCGATCGGTGGGTCGTGGCTCGGCTTCCCCGTGCTCGATCCGCTCGGCGGTCTGCTTGTGGCCGGTCTGATTGGCAAGCAGGGTGCGGATCTGCTGATTGGTGCACTCGGCGAGTTGTCCGACCGCGGCGTCGAACCCGAGATCCTCCAGACGCTCGACCAGGCCATCGTCGAGGTGCAAAAGCAGAACCCGCTGCTGCTCGGTTGGAAGGACCTCCGAGCCGTCAAGTCCGGAGTCAGCACGTTTGCAGACGTAACCCTCCAGCTGCCCAACGACGCCACCCTGCACACCGCGTCCCACATCGAGGCCCAGGTGAGAGCCAAAATCACCGCCGCCGTCAAGGGCGTAAAGGAAGTGCGCGTGCGCCTCGTCACCGTAGACGCCACCAACTAACTTTGACCTGGCAATCGATTTCACAATCTCGCACCCCTCTTACTCTCACGGATCGTGCGACAGATAAAGGCATCCTAAACGCGTGCAGTGCGGCACTGGGAGAATGAGAGCGACTAGAATTGCACATGCCCGAGACGGCAGGTGCGTAAGATTAGACGTGAGTGCGGGTATTGCGGAGACTTAGGTTGCAGCTGTGGTGGGCAAGTTGGCTGGTGGCTGCTGCGAGGCGTGCTGCCTATTTGCAGGCGAGTCCTGGCTTGCGTTCTGGGTGCCGGCGGTGTTGGACGCGAGCGAAGAACTCGACAGCGTCTGTGCGGCTGCTCCGATGGACGACAGCTGTGCATGTCCGCCTGGCGCATCTGTGGGCACTGTCTGCTTAGCCGGTACACCTGGCTTATCCTGCGCCGGCGTGCCAGCCGCACTTGCACTGCTCGGCGACGTCGCATAGAACGGGAACGACGATGCGGGTGCGCCCGTCGTGGGCGAGAGCGGAGGATTGCCGTTGGGCGTAGGGCCGTTCCTCTGCCTGTTGATGAGCGTCTTGAGCGCCGAGATCCACTTGATCTCCTCGTCCTCTCCGGGCGCACACAGGATGAACGTGCGCTTGGGCGTGATGATCTGGAAGCAGTTCTCTTTGCGCTTCCTCGAGCCACCCACCATCCCCGCCGACATGTTGGACGCCACGCCCGCCGCTACCGCCACCATGCTCCCGCGGCGCTCGGGCTTTTCGGGCGGCGCTCCCGCCGACGAAGCCGCGCCGGGCGAGAAGGCCGAATTGCCGTCGCGCTCCGACGCCGCCGCGCCGTTCTCGGGCGCAAACGGGTTCGCGGACCCCCCGAGCGCGGGCGACGTCGGCAGTGCCGATGCCTTCTTGGGCTCGTATTCGATCGCATCGAGCATCGACGAGATGGCAATCTGCCGATGCGCCTTGGCATCCATGTGGCTGCGTGAGTAGAGCAGCCGCGCGGGCGTCAGCACAAACCAGCGCTTGCGCCACACCTTGCGCCGCCCGCTCTGCTTCATCAGATAGCCCTGCGTGATCACCTTGTTTGGGTCGCGGATCAGGTCGTTGGCCGTCGTCGGCAGCGGCGAAATGCTCAGACCCGACGCTTGACCTGGCGACGCCAGATGCTGCGCATGTGCCGTCGGCGTGGCTAGCGACGACGTCTGTGCGTTGTTCTGCGACGATCCCAGTGCGGGAAGCGGCATGGCCTGGTCGGCCACCTCTTCCTCGTCCCACTCGTCCTCTTCGTCCGAACTGCTCAGCACCTGCTGCCCGCCGCCGCCGCCGCTGCTGGGTGGGAAGATGGGACTTGAGGGCTGATCGGCAGCACCGCTCGAGAACGATGCGAGGCGTCGTGTTGCGCTGGTGGAGCGTTGGCGGGGGAGGCTGCCGAAGCCTGCCGAAGGGCGTCGTTGGTGGCCGCCGCCTGCGTCGCTCATTTCGCTGCCGGAAGTGTGGCCACCACCTCCACCGGGAGACTGACCCGCGGCAAGGAAGAGGTGCGAGGGGTCGGGGCGCGTCGAAGGGCTGCCAGACATCGAAGGCCCCGTGGAGCTGGCGTAGCTGAGGCCATACCTCTCTGCACCCGTCTCGCTGTCGCTGGTGGTGGTGAACGGGCTGAATGCAGCCGAGCCCGGGATAGGACGCGGCTGGGCGGGCGCAGCGTAGCTGGCTCTGCTGGGGATGCCGATCTTGATGGGTTGTGCGGACGAAGGCGGATGGGCGCGCTCCTGGGATGCGGATCGCCTTTGCTGCGGAGGCAGGGTTGCCGAGGGTGCTGGAGTTTCGGTGTTGGCGAGCTCGAGCGCGGCCATCTCCTGGGTCATGGTGCTGCTCTGTGCGTACTGGGTCATGACCTCGTTGAGCCTCTCGATCCACGATTCCATGTCGGCTCTCGACGATGCGCGCACGTAAAAGGTGCGCTTGGGAGTGACGATGCCAAACGTGTTGACGCTCTTCTTGAGCTCGACCGAGGCGACCGTCTTGATGTCGCCGACGTCGATGAAGCGCAGCAGCTGGTATTCCTTGTCGTTCTTGTAGTATGCGAGTTTGGAGGAGCGCAGGACGAACCACCTCTTTTTCCATGTCTTGCGCTTCTCGCCCTTCTTCTCGAGATAGCCTGACTTGACGGTGAGCTCGTTGATCATGTTGTGGTGCGCCTCGCTGCCACCGATGTGCTCCACGTCATCGTCATCCTCGTCAGCGTCGGCATCGCCTTCGAGATCGTCTGCGCTGTGGTGATCGTCTTGCAGTCGAGAAGGGGCATGCAGCCGAGTGGATGAAGTTGCGTCAAACGAGTCTCCGTAGGTTGAGGGAGACGAGGCTGCCGCAGCAGCGTTGGAGACCGATGGCATGGTCACGACCTTATGCGACACCTGGTGTTCGAATGACTCGTACAGTCCAACCTCGGTGAAAGGTGCGAAAGCGGGCTGACCACACGCCCGTGTGCTGTACTATGGGTGAAGAGGAGAGCGCCGATGCGAGGAATGATGAGACCAACTCAAGATGAGCGGTCGCTGCGCATTGATGGACGGCAACGAGGGATGGAGGTCAGAGCAGCGTGCGGGGTGTGGCTGAGTGAGCGAGGCGTAGATGGGGGCAGGGCTGCCGGCCGGTCGGTGTGTCGCACCCTCCACCCGATCTAGGCGAGGCGAGCCGAAATTCATCAGATGGCTCCTGCGCGGATCGCCCACCGGTCCAAGACAAGGGCGAGAGAGACGACACTCGTCACACTGCGTGCGCCCGTCACCCTCCCTGGGGCAGAGCAGAGCACTCGGCGTCGCAGCTCTATCTCTCAACGCGCACATGCCTGAGCCATCCCACCCAATGGAGACGGCATATTTTCGGCAGAATTTCAGCTCCAGCTTAACATCTTCACTACTTTACACCAACTTTTCGGACGAGAAATCGCGCACCAGGCCTGGACGCGGATCCGCGAGAGCTGTCGCAGCCCTCACCGTCACCTGCGTCTTCGCATCACCACTAGCGCCTCCTCTCCACCATCGACTCCACACAATATCTCACACATACACCATGTTCCGACAGGCACTATCCACATCCGCACGTCCTGCTGCACGATGCGCCGCCCTGCAGCGCGGCACCGCTGCCCAGGCTCGCTTCGCCTCGGGAGGCTCGTCTTACAACCAGCCCACCGGTTACCTCTTTGGAGAGAAGGTAAGATCGTCAAACGCGCGGCATCTCATGGAGAGCGGACCGCGATCCAGGAGCGCTAGGGCCAGACATCATGACTGACCTTTCTTCACCCGCACATTCATATCTCGGCCATCCTTTTTCATCGCCGCTTCGACGCTTGGCAGGTTCCCAAGGGCCAGAAGAGGCAGAAGGAGAACTGGGAGAACATGTGGTACTTTGGCATGTTCGGCGGCATGGCTTTCGCCGCTGTTGCCCTCATGTACAAGCCCGACACCAGGTAAGTAGCATCCTCCGCTCCGATTCAGAGCCTTGCCTCATTTCTGCTTACACTAAGGTATGGTCCCCGCGCATCGTGCTCGCACCGCACAGCATTCAAACTTGGGCCATGGCCGAGGCGAAAAAGCGTCTGGAAGCTTCGGGAGACGAATGGCAGTACAAGCCCTCGCCAAACTCGGGCCACCCGAACGGCGTGTAACTGTCCCACCTTGCACCGTGTTTCTGCGACAATGCAACGATTCCATCTCAGCCCGGCCAGACAACTCGTTCGCATCTGCATTCTCTCATAGAGCTAGGAAAACTCGGCTCAAACGACACGGTCTCAGAGGTCATGCTTTCGCCGACTCATCCGAGTACTCGACGACACATCCTGGTACTCGACAGTGGTCATCTCATTTGCGACATCTATGGCTTAGTTGAGCGAGACGAAGGGGAAACAGGCAGGCGGGATTTGCTTCGGCTTTGGACTACAAACGAACTCAAAGCTTGGCGATGTAGTCGAGGCCCATGTTGAAGGCAGCGCACTGGTCGTTTCTCTGACCCAGCGTCTCGAGCCTCTGCTGGACAGGGCCGAAGCTGAGGCCGTTGAGATTCGAGGTCGACATCGCGGTCCAGGTGGTGCCTGCCGCGGTGGTCCTTGCGAGCGACGAAGCATACGCCCCGCCTCGAGCGCGCAGGTAGTCGGCCGCCGGAGCCGGGTTGCCTGTGCGGACGAAAGCGGAGAATTGGTCGATGATCGACGCCATCCACGGCAGATCGTTGGCGTCGCGGTAGGGCAGGCGGAAGGCAGTGCCCGTGGTGTGGAAGAGCGTCATGAGATCGCCCGAGTGACACATGTAGTAGCTCGAAGGGTCTAGGCTACCCTTGGGCTGACACGCTGCCTGCGGGTCGTAGTTGGGGATCTGGTACGAGCGCTGGTCGTAAAAGTAGGCCCAGACGCGCGGGAAGACGCCGTTGGCGACCGAGGCGTACGCCATGCCCTGGATACCGCAGCGGTACCTGATGTCCGTGTTGACGCTCACCGTCAGATTCTGCACGCTGTATCCTCGGTTCACGGGGAACGCTGCCGTGTCACGCAGCGCAATGTCGCTGTAGTTGGACGCGATGCCCGCCGTCTTCATCGCATTGGCAAAGTTGGTCTCGGACGCGGGCGGCACGATGCCGAGCGAGGCCAGCTCGTCACGCATGGTGCCCCAGATCACGGGCACACGATTGACGTGACCCTGCGCGCGACCGGGTGACCTCATGTCAAGGCGTGGCGAGCGGATGTACGTGCCATCCTGTGTGATCACCGCGAACTGATTCTTGAGCATGTCACCCACACTCTTACCGCGCAGGCACGAGAGGACATTCGAGGCAGCGTCGCATCCGAGCGCCTTGACTACCGCACCGCCCTGGCCTTGACGTGCCTGCTCGACGGTTGGATAGACAAAGGCTGCATCGTGTCCCTTTCCACTGAGCACAATGGCGCGCTGGAAGAGGCCTGCAGCTTGAGGCGAGGCGAGCAGGTTCTGCACGTGCTGGGCACCCGCCGATTGGCCCGCAATGGTCACGCGGCTCGGATCACCGCCAAAGTCCTTGATGTACTTTTGCACCCACTTGAGCGCGGTCACGAGATCGCCCAAACCATAGTTGCCACGGATCTGGTCGTTGTACGCCAGGTAGCCCAGCGAACCCAGACGATAGTTGGGTGTGACCACTACAACGTCGCTGCGACTCGCCATATTGCCGCCGTCAAAGGTGAAGTCGAGCCCGCTGCCCGAGCCGTAGCCTCCGCCGTGGATGAAGAGCAGCACGGGCTTGAGCGCCTTGGTGTCCTGCGTTTCGGACGACGTCGGCAGGAAAGGCGTGAATACGTTGGCATACAGGCACTGCTCCGAGTATGCACCCGAACCGTTCTGCGGGCACTGCTTGTTGCGCGTCGTGTCAAGCGCAGTGACGGAGGTGGATGTGCTGCCATCGTACACGGACGAATAGGCGAAACGCTGGACAGGATTCGCAAAGGGCACGGCTTGGAAGCGGAACGAGAGTGCATCGCGGAAGCCCGTGAACTTGACGCCGTTGCTCTGGGCTGTGAGCTGCCACATGGCAGAGGTGTCGGTCGAGTTGGCGGCCCTCCAGGGTGCACTCTGCGTGCAAAGTGCCGGCAGCTTGGTATCAGCACTCGGCTTGGTCGCCTGAAGGCTTCCCGAGGAGGACGACTTGAAGGCGTTCCCACCGGCAGCCCAGAACGACTGGCCTGCGGCATAGCTTCCGTCGTAGAGCAAGTAGCTCATCTGGGCCTGCAAGCCTGCATTAGACGAGGCGGAGGCAGGGACCAGCGCCTCGCCAAGGCGTCGACATTTTGCAGCAGCATCTGTAGCAGTAAGCGGGGCGGTGAGCAGGAGATAGCCGTCTTGGCGCCTGGACGAGTCGGCCCTGTTCCAGTCCAAATCGTTCTGGTAGAGGAAACGGACACCAGTGTTGAGCGAGCTGATGGCGGGCACGCCGGTGGATTGCGCTCTTGCAAGCGCCACCAACGCACATAGGAGCGCACACAACGTCCACGGGCTCATGTTGGCAATGGGCTCGGGCGTCTAGTCTGATGGTGGAGGGGGATGGAGAGAGACTCTGACCAGATGCGAAGACAGCCAAGCCTTGTCTTATAGCGATGGGATCGGCATGGCTTGTTGGGCAGTTTTGCTCCCACCGGCGATGGGACACTCTCACAACCCGCTCATTGAAGCGCCACACAAGGAACGCCCGCAGCCGTCTTTACCCACAGTGCATGTTGCTCGTCCATCACCACACACGGGGGCTGCACTCGAAGCCGAGCCGAGGACCGCAAGCAACTAGCGGCATCTGAGTGCGATGGTCGAACAGCACAGGGGCGGGTAAGGCTCAAACACCGGCGTTTTCCCCGCACACATTGTGCACACCAGCGGAGCGTGCGGCTCTCGAAGGCCAAGCGAGGCTCGCCAACACGAAAATCCAGGGGTCCCGCGAGATTGGCGCGTCGGCACCCTTGCTCGAAGCTTGATGCAGGGATCGACATGTCCAGACGCCACGGTCAATTGAGCTTGTTGTCGCTCATGTTTGCCTGCCGGAGGGACTCTGCATCAAACAAAGTGGCAAATGCATGAATGTTGGTGGAATGCCCCCACCTCATGAGCGCGGTGGGACGGGCATTTCGGTGGAGGCTTGCCCACATACCGAACCTAAACATTGAATGCGAAAGCCACGCTGCACACGACGGTGACACCGGCTGCTCTGCTGTAGCCGTTGCTTTGCAGTGTGAGTCTGAGTGTTTGTGGCCTTGCCACTTCGACTTCGGGACGAGCCGAGGAACGGCTCAGGGCACGGTGGGGCGATCGTCGCGCCACGCCAAGCCTCGGAATGCAACGAGCATTTTTTGACAGATGCGCCTGCAGGCAGCAGCGTTGCAATTCGCCTCTCCAAGGTCCGAAACAGCGAAGTGCGGGAACGTCGGGAGACGGCCCAGCGCAGCTCGACGCAGGCACAGTCGACTCCGCAACCACCGCACCGCTCGACTAGACTCACATCGGGTTGCTGCAGTAGATCGGCACACCTGCTGACGACCCCCGCTTGCCTGTCGAGGGCAGTAACGGTGGCGCAATCGTTCGTCGCCAGTGCCTCGATATCCATATAACAACCGAGAGTTGATATTAGTAACAGAGTGGAAGGCAAGCGAAGGCAGTCGAAGGCCAGCTTTTACCTTGTGAACCTTCAGCAGCTCAAGCCAAGGTGGCGCTAGCTCTACCCAACCGCACCTCATACACACCTTTATGGCAGGCCAGGCTCTTATGTCCGGGGCCGCCAACCTTGAACGAAGGGGTGCCTGTGTAAAAGCTTAACAGAGCTGGGCATTTTTCAAAGTGAATCACTGTAGCACAGCCAGGGTCCAAACGCTGAGCCGGAATTACGCGTCGGTCTCCACTTTGGTCACGGCTGCAGGTGGCGGTGTTTGTGGGCTGCTCAGCCAGGGCGATGCAAGGCTTGCGTGGCCACACACTCGGAATTGCTTGGCGGTCGGCCATTTAAGCTTCCGGGCAATGCGATGTCGTTCGTCGTCCGACAACCCATTTCACCTTTGCACTTGACCACACCAACTCTCCCTACAACACCCCCTCTCTACTGCTCGTCATCATGCCAGAACGTTCAACAGGTTCGATGATCTTCATCGGCGAGCGCTGCGCGTTCGATGAATGCCATCGCGAAGACTTCCTCCCCTTCAAGTGTGGCGACTGCCGCCAGCACTACTGCTCAAACCACTTCCGGCCGCAGGCGCATCGTTGCTCTCACTATGACGATAAGGATCTCGACTACCGCGTACCTCTGTGCCCAATCTGCGACCAGCCTCCGCAGGGGTGGCAGCGCGACCAGGATCCGAACATTGCCATGGATCGTCACCTCTCCGGCCAATGTCCCATGCTCGACAGCAACGGCCATCTCAAGCCAGACGCTTCTTCCCCCGCTGCGCTCAAGATGAAGAGGGTCAAGAAGGCAAACGAATGCTCGTTCGTCAAGTGCTCCAAGATCATGGTCGTGCCCATCCAGTGCCCACAGTGCGCCGCGTCCTTCTGCCCCTCTCATCGCGCACCCAACCAGCACAGCTGCCAGCATTCGTCATCTTCCTCTCCGTCCGCGTCCTCCGCTCGCATCGCATCCACGGCTCCAGCAAGCGGCAGCGGCGGCATCAAGAGCGCATTCCAGAATCTGAAGATCAGCACACCGCAGCTCGGATCCAGCAGCATGCCCACCAAGAGCACCGGCTCGAAACTATCCGCCACCGCGCCGAAACCGACCGCCGCAAGCTCGACCTCGCAACCATTTGGAAAGATGTTTGACAAGTCAGAAAAGTGGGTGCCCAAGCCGATCTTTGGCAAGGCTTGAGCAGCTCGCGAGTCGGTCGGACCCGTTCGAGTGGGATTGTAGATCGGTACGCCTTTCTCCGACTGCGCCTGCTCACCAATCCTCCATGCCTACGCAACGGCGGCGCGCATTTGCTTACTGACAGTCTACTTCGCTTCACCTTCCGATGCACAGACGCGCCAAAGCAGAGAGGCTGTCCGCCATCCGCGCCATGCAGGCGCGCCAGCGCAAAGGCATCCTATCCGATGCAGACACCGTCAGGCTCGCCGAAGAAATGGCAGCCCTGTCCAAGACAGAGAGAATCAAGGCTTCGGATTCGGATTGCTCCGTCATGTGATTCCAATCCATTGCCGCCGCATCTACCGCATACACATTATACCCATCCGATCATGCAATCGATAATCGCCATAGACGCACTTGATCCAGCGTGACATTTGTGTGTGTCACTGGTCGTAAACGAGCTGACGGAAAGTGATGCTCTGTGATGGTCAAGAGAAAGAGATTGCGTTAGCATGGCTGGTGTGAAGCTGCGGACCTGCGCCACGGCAGCTTACAATCCTTGGTGTCTTGATCTTGAGCTCCTTGGGGATTTCATGGGTGTAGAACTTTTGCGTTTGGCCCTGCATAACGAGCAGGCTGCCACCGGCAAGCATCCATCGTTTCTTCACCTTCTCGCTTGACGGTTGAGATGAACCCTTCCGAGGCTGCTTTCGTTCCATGATCCAGCTCCTATCGGCGCCGAGGGAAACAGTGACGATGACCTTGTTCTCGATGTTGTCCGAGTGTCTGCCAATGTAGATGCTGCCGTCTTCGTACCGGTTGAGCATGCAGTGGTTGAAGCGCACCTCGGAGCCGAGACAGTCGTCGGACGAGATGAGCGAGGCGATGTGGTTGAGCAGCGGTGGAAACGGAGCATGAAGCTCAACTGGATGTCCGCTGTATTTGAGGTGCAGACCGGGTGCTGTCGAATACGCCGCAATGTCGCGGCTCTGCGTAATCTCGCGGCCGTACACTTTGAGTTTCGGCCTGTACCATTCTGACAATCGGTCGAGCTCGGCCCGCCATTCTTCCGCCAGATGCGCGGAGATAAAGTCGGGCTTATAATAGATCTCGGCGTCGGGAAGACCATCCACCTGATACGCGGAGCAGAATTCGGGCCTCGTGACCTGGTGGAACGGTCCGCGATGGTGGTACTTGGGCGTTGCTGATGATGTCGTGAGTGCTGCAGACGAAGCAGGCTTTGATCGTTTACTTTGCTCCTCGGTCTCATCCTTCGCTTCGTCTTCCTTTAAGCTGTACTGCGACCGTGTACGTTTTGTCGGACTTGCTTCCGCCTTGACGGGCGGCAACCGGGTGCGATGCGCTCCAAACTTGACGTTGAACAGCGTGCTTTGCACCGTTCGCTTGGTTGGAGAAGATGCCTTGCTCGTGCCCTCCCCCTTGTCTGTCAGCTCTAGCGCCGAGGGCGAGAACGATGACGGCTTGACCATCCTTGTGCCAGTCTCCTATGTGTCAATGGACGAGGTTGCTGTAGAAGGGCGGACTCAGCGCGGGTTTGCCACTCCAGCCTCGGCTATTCAAACCAGCGCCAGGGTCCAGCTTGGTCAGGTCGTGCAGCGAGCTTTTTTGGTAGCCGCAATCGGGGCAGTGATTCCCGATTCGACGGGCGGGAAGTATGAAGGCACGGGCGAATTTCCGTTTGCCACACCGCACCTTCTCATTCTTGTTAAGAGATCTCCTTATCGCAAGCCGATCATGAAGCTTCTGCGTCCGTCACTGCTCCAAAGCAGCAGAGTGCATTCAAGGCAGACGCTCTTGCTACAGATCTATGAATGCTCACAGTCGACCATGGGAGCGAGAGCCAGGTGAATCAGCTATTCCTGTGGTTGGGTGTGACATCGGTGACCGGCGAAATCCACGGGTCGGAAAAGCCGAAGCCTGTGGCCTGCAAAGATACCCGAAGCTCCACAGCGCGCACGGAGCGCAATGGTCCAGCCCCGTCCTGGATCGCCATCGTCCGTGAGCCAGCTCTGCAGCGTTCAAAGAAAGGCCAGCATGGCTGTGTGACCGGCGGCGAGAGTATCGGCGGATGCTCGGTCGAGCCAAATTGCGTCGCGGCAACGTGTGCTGCGCCAGCGCTCGATTTTCGCGACTGTTGGGGTGGGGGCAATTTCGCCGCACCACACCAACTTCGCTGTCGACCTGCCGGAGTTGCACCAAGGTCACGTTTCGCGCGAGCTCCACATTCGCATCGCAGGCTCATACTGGACAGGATCGAAAGCTGGATCGCTGACTTTGTTCGTGCTCGTGCGTGTGTGGTGCTAGGCAGAAGCACAGTGCCGGAGCAAGAGGCGCGAAGCGCGAAGCAGTGCAGCTGATGCGTGCATTTGGGGCTTCATCTATAATCGATGAGGGTCTGATTGGAAGAACCGCCCAATCTTTGCGCAAAGCCAGCCGAGGCTCTTTTTTTTTTTTTTT